GTGACAACATCGAAATGAATATCACTCTGAGCTTATTTCGATTTGGGCCAACCCGAAACGCGATCGCGATTTGGGTCAGAACATTACTATTATGATGGATTTGTGTTGTCGTGCTACCGAACTTCTAACTGCTGTGAAAAACTTTACTATTATACTTGAAGTCAAGAAAAAGGCACAGGGTAGATAGCTTCTCCAAGTATATAAAAACTCAATTTCGACCCCACATCACCAATTACCATTTCATAGGTCAGTTGTTTTTGTTCCGATTACTGTAATATTAAGTTCTATCCATGCAGAGTCAAGCATTGCTCATTCGTTAGGTGCATTTCCATCGATTCTTATCCTAGAATCTGCAATTGGAAAGGCACGCCCTTGAGACAAGCATAGAAGAGCAAGTGCTCGCCATATCATATTCTTATGCTCATTGAGAATTGGCATAGCCTTTTGTAATGGTAAAAATGAATAAAATACTTCGAATAATAATCAAATTTATGTATTAATATCGATTTTGAAATGAGTTAGTTTACGATTTGATTATAATATTAAAATAAAAAAAAAAAAAAGCAATAAATTGGATATTCTATTTCAAGGTTTGAATCTGAATATCGGGAAAACCCGGAATAACTAATGGTTGAATGATGTCCAAAATATATAAATAGACAAGTAGTCTTCCCATTTTTTATCTTGATGTCTAATCACGAAAAATTTGATACTGTACTTCGAATACTATTATTGTTTGGTTTATTTTTTACGGTATTAATCCAATTTTTTATCGTTATCATATTCATTTCATTAATACCGATATACTTTGAAATAGGTTTATTTCAAGAATATCTACCAAATTTCATAGTTTTTGTTAAAAACTTTATAAATAGTATACTCCCATTTATTAGTGAGTATATACCATTTATCAAAGAATTTATTAAAAACGTTTGGTCTAGTATACTCAATTAAAAGTGGCTCCAACAAAAGTTAAAACCCCACCAAAATTGAGAAAACAAACTCCGGTAAAAACTATTAAAAAACCAACCAAAGTAGTAAAAAGAACAGCTAAAACAGTTGTAAAGAAACCCAAATCTGATACTAAAAATCCAACCAGAGCAGTAAAGAGAACAGCTAAAACAGTTGTAAAGAAACCCAAATCCGATACTAAAAATCCAACCAGAGTAGTAAAGAGAACAGCTAAAACAGTTGTAAAGAAACCCAAATCCGATACTAAAAATCCAACCAGAGAACAGATAAAACAGTTGTAAAGAAACAACAACCGTCATCCAACTGCGAGCCGTGTCGAATAAAACCAAAGTCTATTCATCTCAATAGATCATTTACGTATATTTAAAATGTCACCTCCAAAGAAGAAGCCAAGATGTGATGTGAATTTTGGTGGAAATAATTGCGGTATTAAAGAGGAACCATCATCAAAATATTCCGGATTTGGTTGTAAAATCGATGGTGGATACTGGAAAGAAATCGTAACCTATGATAATGCTATCGAGTTTGGTGATGATTATACAAAATATCATAGATTATTAGATAATCGGGTATTTATTCATAGATTATTTCAAGATGGAAAAGATCATAAAATTGAATGGAAAGACTCTTCTAGTAAAATACTTGGTTACTTCATATATAGTTTCCGTTTAGTTTCTTATCATGGATCAGAACCTCTCCGAATCAATGGCCCAGCTGGTAAGGGTAAAGTAAAACTTCAGAAATTACTCAAACCAATGAAAATTCGATTACTCTTGTTGAGAATATGCGATCATGAAATAATTAAGAAAACAAATATCGATATTAAAGATATTGTTTCCGATATTAAGGATTTTAACGGTTCGAAAGTTGATGATAGATTTGAAATAATAGAAGATGAGACAAAAGTAGTCAAATGTTCAGAAGAATGCTCATTTACTATTTCTGAAACTGTTAATTTCTGTATAGATTTTAACGGGATTAAAGATTGTATAGTAGATGATGATGATGGTATTATAAAATATAATAATAATAATTACATTTTTTAGTTCTTATAAATAATATGCCATTTACATTAAATTTAAAAGATAATTACGATTTTGGAATAGAGAGAGACTTAACAGTTGGTAATATAGGAATATCAGCATTTTATGATAATTTATTTATTATTATGGCTGAATTATATCAAAATGATTATGGACAAGCAGCCAGTACGACGAAATTGACCAAAGACATCGTCAAACAAGTAATTATTGAAAACAATCTTTTTAAAAAAGGAGATGGTGACACTGAAATGGGAAATGCTTAATGCTGGGAAAATATAAATACAACATTAGTACATTAGTTTATTTTATTTTTTAAATGCCTCACTGTAATCAGCAAAATTACAATAAAGACAAAACACATAATATCGTTAATCTGATAAACGCTGCTATTCAAAATATTGATGAATATAAAATGATTACTGGAAAAAAACCCAATGAAAATTATTTATCTTATAATGATATTAGAGAAAAAATGATCAAAGAAACCAATGTTAATAGATTACAAGATAATGGTTATTGGAGCAAGATAATAAGAAATAATAAGTTTCCTGAATTACAAAAATTGAGACGAGCAATACTAAAATCTAAACAGAAAGATGAAATTAAAACCGAATCTCAAACAATTAAACAAGAACCAAATAATGAAATAAAGATCAAAAAAGAAGAAATTGAAAACAGTGAATTTAAAGGCAATTTCAAACAACCAAAACAAGAAGTCAAATTACCAGTAGATGAAAAAGTCGAATTCGATAATGAGCAAAATACAAAAGATATTAAACAGAAAGCTGAATTATTAGTGGTTAATGAGATTGATTATTATGAATCCGAACAAAAAGTTGAATTATTAATGGTCAACGAGGATAAAGTAGTCGAATTCGATAATGAGCAAAATATGAAAGATATTGAGAAAGCTAAATCATTAGTGGTTAATGATGAGCAAAA